TTGGTTAGTTGGTTAGTTGGTTAGTTGGTTGGCGGGCCTTGGCTTGGTTTGTCTGGTTCCTGGCTACCGTCCAACCAAACCAACCAGCCAGCCAGAGAACCACAGGAGGAAAAAGCAGACCCCTTCGCCCAAAATCAGATCCATTTTGGACGAACAACTCCTATGTGCAAGGGCCTAAATGATTATCCCAAGGCGTTAGTCCCAAATCCAGTGGTTGAGTTCCACAAAAGGAAAACCCTTGGTTTAGGTCTTCCTTGAGGTAGTCGACATCTTGAACCATGTATAATATATATATATATATAATCATTTGGCCCCGTATGGACAAAGTCCTGCCCCAGTTGGGATGGATGAAACACGAATTTAGGGATAAAGATAACCGACCAACTCCTGGCATAGGTGTCTGTTTGGGACAAGAGATGGCCCTTGTAGATCATGAAACAACCAGGTCAAACAGGGCCATCGATTTTCTACGAAAATCATCTTCCCTTCTTGGAACCTCCTGCAAACCGCCGGTAAATTGATCAACCTGGGGGAAATGCCGGCGTGACCCCGAGGTTTATCGGTTCCGCCTGCTAAGATCCATAGGCTCGCCCGTGTTCCCGCAAAAGGTCACCAGCGTCAGGAACTCGGTGCGAGCGACAAAGCGACAGAAGTGGCTTTAAACATTTGGGCGGCTCAGCTGTTTTGGGGTCCCGGACCCGCTCAAATGGTGAGTTCCCGTTGAAAACAAAGAAAACAAGGGGGGGTTCAATCCCCCCCAAAAAAGACCAGGCGCCCGATTCTGCGGAGCATCTGCCAGCCTTTGAGCCCAGAAAACCCACGTAAGCACGCGTGTGCTTTGGTGAAACAGGACGCCCCACTTGCTAGTTCGATGGGGGAATGAGAAATGGAATGACCCCGAGATAACTTGGTTGACGTTGGGTTTGGGGAGCAAAAAATCTCAAATGTTAGCAGTTTAGCGGATTTGGATTTCAAGCACTAAACCACAATAAACAAAAATGGGAAAAATGTGTCCCAACAGCAACCATGATAAACCATCCATGGTTTTTTTCAGGGAATCCCCTAAACCGGTTCATTCCAAAACCAACACTCGGTCCTAGCCCAAATTGACTCTGATCAAAACATGGTACCCAGGGCACCACCTTATGGAAACAAAGACTAAACCTGTGGTTCGCTGAATTTGAGCCACACCCAAATTTACTCTGGGGATCGAAGCATGCTGGCAGTGCTTTTTGTACAGAATCATTCTGATTCAAAGTCGATTCTGCCGAATTTGTGAACTCCGTTGGCCCACCGACTTCCCCAAATAGACCTGTACCGGCTGCTTTTGTTTGGCCCCCCCGAAAACCAGCTGCCATGCGGGTCTCCGCGATTTTTCGGGGGATTCGATTCCTGGAAACCTGCGAGACACGACACGCACTGAGCTAATGGCTTCTGGATACCTCGGCTTTCGCGGTGCGAAGCGAATTCGAAGGACTCTCTCTGCTGCATGAAACAAAAACTCATTTGGTCCGAGGAAATTCCACTGATCTGTGACCTTGATCTGCCAGCCAAGCCAAGACCAAGACCAAAAAATCCCATCGGTGGAGTCTATCAGGCTTGTCAAGGACTTTTCAGGGCCCTGCCCAGCCGCGCCTTGTGATTCATGCATCTCATGAATTCAGCCAGGGCTCGTAATTTTTGACACGATCTTCTGCTGCGATGACATGTCTCCACCATGACAGCTGACCTGCGACCGGGATCCCTGGCTCGTTTGCTGGTTACATTTGCAACTTATCCAATCTAGGTCCTCCAGTAGACAGGTTAGAATAAAGCTACCAATTTTTTATGTAGTCTATTTTAGCAGGGGAACCCTCCCAACCAAACAGTTGGTAGAGAAAGGGCACCTAGCTGGGGGACCTAGAATAGCGTCAAGGGACCTTCATGGTGAGCTCGTTGACACATTCGACGCCGTAAATAATAAGCAGTCATACCGCTTTGTTCAAAAACCAAAGCTGTCCTCAGCTCCCCTGCTAAGATTCTAACTTTTAAGTGCGTGAAGTGGAAACCCACAACCACCAAGCCCAAAAAACGCGAAAAAGCTAAGGAACCGGATGGCCGGACCCACCAAGGAATCGCCATTCTTCCGGCGCGCACGGCAGTTGCGCGGGGGTTCCAAAGGTCGGCACAAGGGACTGGGCAGTGGGGTTGCCAGGTATCAGGGAGCCTCCGACCCACCCACCCACCCACCACCCCTAAGGTGGGCCTTCAGCGCTTATCCTTGGCTTATCCATGACAAAAACAAGTGCGGCGCCCGAACATCACACCGAAACTGGGCTGTCCGTTTTCAGATCCCCCGCTAGAAGTGACTAACTTTTAGTGGCTTAAATTCGGAAACCCAACCACTAAACACCAAAAGGATCTAAAAAGCGAAGGGGATGGATGGGACCAAGTAAACTCACTGTCATCCTCTTACTTCAAAGTCTCAAGACGTGGCTAAGACATCTCACAGGAGGCATGCTTGCCCGGTGGCCATGGGCCTGGTGGATCGTAGAGGGAAACCGACCCACCCACCAAAAAACCGAACACACCGTCCAAAAGGTCTACTGGGCAGCTGAAAAACTGAGATGGCGCCTACAAGCGACTGCTGACGAGCTACAAAGATGCGCTCCAGTTGTCTTCGCGGAACACCTCGGCACTTGAAGATTGCTGCTTGGCAGCCTCAAAGAAAGGCAGCACAACACGAGCACCGCGACATCTGCCACCAGGACACCTACCATAACAACACCACTATCACACCCAATCTACCACCTACCCTACCGCTTACCAACTACCACCACCCACCAAGGCCACCACCACCACCACCACTGACCACCCCACCACCAACAACAACCGAAACCACAACCACAAACACAACCACAAACACAACCACAACAACAACAACCACTACCACTACCACTACCACTACCACTACCACTACCACAACAACAACAACAACAACAACAACAACAACAACAACAACAACAACAACAACAACAACAACAACAACAACAACAACAACAACGCCACCAACACCAACACCAACACCAACACCAACACCGACACCACCACCACCACCAACACCACCACCACCACCAACAACAACAACAACAACTACTACAACTACAACAACTACAACTACAACTACAACAACAACAGTAACAAGAACAAAAGCAAGAACAAGAACAACAACAACGACACCAACACCAACACCAACACCAACACCGACACCACCACCACCACCACCACCAACAACAACAACAACAACAACAACTACTACTACTACAACTACTACAACTACAACTACAACTACAACAACAACAGTAACAAGAACAAGAACAAGAACAAGAACAAGAACAACCAACAACCAACAACCAACAACCACAACAACAACAACAACCCACAACCCACAACCCACAACCCACAACCCACAACCAACAACCAACAACCAACAACCATTAACCAACAACCAACAACCAACAACCAACAACCAACAACCAACAACCAACAACCAACAACCAACAGCCAACAACCACCAACCACCAACCACCAACCACCAACCACCAACCACCAACCACCAACAATCACCACCACCACCACCACCAACAACAACAACAACAACACCAGCAGCAGCAGCAACAACAACAACACCAACAACAGCAACAACAACAACAACAACAACAACACCAACAACAACAACACCAACAACAAACAAACAAACAAACAAACAAACAAACAAACAAACAAACTGCGAAAGGGTTTGAAACAGAGTTCCGGGAGAGAATAAACAGGCCCAATCCCACCAACAAGAAGAGATAGTTTAAGTCCCCCAGTCCCAAGGGCAAAGCGGTGCCCTCGGCTGGCCAAACACGAACCAAAACAGGGTGCCAGTTGTAACAAGGTAAAGAAGCCCAGCAAGGGCAGAGACAACCGAAAGCAAGCACAAAGCAGCAAACCAAGCAGGCAAACAATGCAGCGAAGCAAGCAAAGCAAACCAGTGCGCACCAACCCCAACCAATACCCCCGACCAACCTCCGCCAAGGACACCACCACAGGCGCACGGCAACAGCACAACGTGCTGATGAAGTGCACCACGTGCCGCGATGTTTTGGCGCCGAAATTGCGGGTGCGAGTCGACGGGTTGAAAAGCTTGAGCCAAACGGCGCGTTGGCCGTGGCATTGAAATATGTTGCGATAAAACTACATGCCCCCAAAAACACCCCCCTCGCCTGTACAAAGAGATGGAGTGAATTTGGAAGGGCGCATTGGCCATGTTGAAGTTGAAAAGCAAACAAACAAGAAAAACAAAGCCGATTAGGCTACCAGGGTTCGCGACCCCATACCCGGGCACTCATTGGTGCCCGGATCCCGCCACCACCCCGAATTACGGGTATGGGGCGGATTCGCGCCGGTAGCCAAATCAAACAAGAGGAAGCAAAAGGAAACAGAACCAAAGATTCAACTCCAGAATGGCAGGCATGAAATATAAATATATTTGCAATGCAACCACAATGATCCATAAGGTTCAAGTGGATTTAGTTTCTGAATTCATGATTTAGGCGCATTGGCCCACTGGTTGAAACATGGTGCTTCGACCACAAGACCTTGGTCTTTAAAGTAGCACCGTCTAGGCGCGCGATCACACAACGATCTTCGGCAGGAGTACCACCAGCTGCAATCAGCGGTTCAGGTCCGAGTAGGACCTCACCGGCGGCGGTGCAGCGCATCCGAGATCCTCACCACAGCATCTTGATGGGTTCCATCGCCAGCAGCAGCAGCGGTGCTGGATGAAGCTGATCACCAGCGGCCATAGACGCCGGCGAGGGAAACTGCCTTGCTGTGACGACGCACACCTGACAGGACATCGCAGCTTGCGCGAATACCGCACAGCCACGCGTGCAATTAAATTCTGGAGTGGCGAATAGCCAAATCATTGAAATATGGCAAGGAGCATAGCCCTTCCGGAAAGATCTCCGGAATAAAGGCATGCGCGCGTTGGCGCAGTCGTGCAAAATAAACGCATGGGCAGACTTCAGGTATCACCGATGTCGCCCACGGCCGTGCCGCCCCTTCCCCTTGCTGGTATTCCAGTCCCCAGGGGGAGGAGGCACCGTCTCGGCAAGCTCGTCATCGTCACCCCAGGTAGCGGTGTGCGGCGAGTTCGGATTTTCGAACTCGCGGGGATCACCCTGCATATGCGGCTGCCAATTCTGCGGCATTGCGCCTGGCCACATTTGTGGCATCATACCAGCCATGGGCTGTTGCATGTACCCTCCCATTGGGAAAGCGGGGTACATCGGACTCGGGAAAGGGAAAGGAGCTGCCTGAGCACCCTTGTACCCCGACCCGCGAGTATCAGGCTGATACCCGCCAGTGGGAGTTCTCGATCTGGCGGATCCGCCACGACCGAACTGCCCTTGTTGGTAGCCGTATTGGCCGCCCTTGCCTTTGAACTGATCACCTTTGTGACCCTTTCCGGGAAATTGGTCACCCTTGTGACCCCCGCCCTTGGGCCAGGATTGCGCAGGGGCCTTGCCCTTCTGCTGATCACCCTTTGACCTGGGTTCAGGTCGCGGGGTAGCAGACCGTTGGTCTCCCCTAGGAGTGGCTGCCCGCCTGTGGTGCTTCCCAACCGGCGGGTCAGCAAAGACAATGGCGCATTGGCCGTCGCGCCGCGAAGCGGGGACCATGTCAACCTTATTGTCTTCGACATAAATGTATGCCTCAGCATACTCAATTGGGGCCGTGATGGATCCACCACTGGCCCGCAAAGAGTCGATATTCCAATCAAGAACAGTGGAAGCATCGAAACTCGGATCTTCAGTATTGAAGTCCGTGAGGCGTCGCTCAGCCTGTACCAATGACATAATGATGTCCGCGCGTGAGGCGCCTAGGCCATACAGCGGAACCAAATACCCGTCCTCAATCCCGATGCGATAAGCATCAAAGATATGCACAGAGAGGTAAAGGGCAAATGCTGAATTTAGACTGCCCTTTCTCGTCATATGACGACCCCATTGCGCCGCCTGTTGCGGGTGATCGATTAAATATGCCATGACAGACATATTGTCGGGAATCGAGACGCCAGTGTTGCTCTCCTCGATGAGCAGCTGCTTCGCTACCCACCGCTCGAGAGCCTCATCACTCGCCCGCACACAAGCGTGAGTGTCCTTGGAGGTGACCTTTGCAACCTCCTGAAATGCAACTTGCACAACATCCGCATTGGGATTGTGCACAAGATGCGGCGCGCATCGCAAACCGGTGATCATGCAGCTGACCACCTCGCGAATCGGGTTTACCGATGCCATGAGAGGGGCCCACGCGTCGGTCTCCCCTTCATACCAGCTGCTGGGGCGGACTGCTTTGAGTTCGCTCAGCCAGATTGGCTGTCCATGCTTAACCAGAGCGCGGACGGTGCCTGGCACCCATTCGCGATAGAAAATCGGCAAATGGCAACCATTGCATAGAATGGTGCCATACATGTTCAAATGGGCACACCGAGGGCACCAGTAGTCATGCATGGGAGCATTGTCCCATGAAAATGACACCCCCCTCGGCGGTCCCTGAACATTCAACTCACGAACCGCCCAGGGACGGATGTATATTACATCCCCTTCCTGGTGCAGATAGCATGCTCGCCAGAAGGGTGCATGTATCTCTTCCCGCACGGCAATCAAACCGCGTCGGGTTTTATAGATGCCGGCAGCTCCCTCGATGGCCATCCACTTGAGGTCAATGGCCACGACGACATGGCGCTTGTCCATGTATTTGACGCGGTCGTCAACATAAAATTCGCCCTCATTATTGGGGCTTGGCAACTTGAGAAGAGGCACCTTTGCGCCCTCCATCCCAATCATGATCTCCCCCCTGCAGACCTGTTCAGGTCGCATGGGGAAAACTGTGATGGCGAATTTGCCAGGCCTTCGGATGCACCTCGTTTTGAGGGCGGACCGATACTCGGCCATCGTCAGCAGCACGTATCCCGTATAAGGGACTTCTGCTGCTCCCATCGGCCTAAGCAAAGGCCCGATAGGCGTTCGGTCACGCAGTGCCCAACGCTTGAAAACTTTGAACGGCACGTCCCTCCCGATTAGGGTGGACCGCGCAAAAAGCACCTCATTCGGGCGCACACTCGTGCCATCTGTCCTCCAGACCGTCCGTATTAGGAGCTCGATTGGAGGGTACGATGGGCTTTCCATTGCGAGAGCAGCCGCCCAGGTCGCAACCTCGACACTCGTGCACTTGTGGATCCCGTATAGGGCCTCAAGTAGCGTCGAGATCAGAGTCATCGACATCCAACCTCCCAGAATGTCTGGGACTGTCCCAAACAAGAAGGGAGGCTGCTCACCGGGCTTCACGTTTAACCGCGTAGGGTCAGTGTTGCCCGACAAAACTTCTAGCAGCATTTGCGATTCCCTGGAGCTTCGTCCAACAAACGCCGACACATCCCTAATTTCGGGGAAGAAATGGAAGATATCTCTTCCGGCAGGACAGGCGAATCTGCCTGCTATCCCGCCCTGTGCATCAATCACAACCTCCTCACCCTCGATTGTGAGGTTGTAGTTGCTCGAAATCGGGCACACATCGGGCTTAGCCATCAGTGCCTCTTCCAACGACGCACCTGTTGGGAGGACGCCCTGTACGTGCGACTT